AATATATAACCGTGTTAAAATTATCAAGAATTAATATTTAATTCAAATTCATCAACATCATCACTGATGTTTTTGTACGTTTTTTCACTCTTTAGGAAAATAAAACAAACAAGGAATGGAGATATCAAGTTACTATAGAAGGAGAATGGTTTTATGGACCTTCGGTTTTACATGTTGGACCAGAAAAAACTGTGGAATATCCTCTCACATTCAGACCTATTTTTGAATGTGAGATTATGGTATGAAATCATTGATTTTTTTTGCCAGTATTAATATGTCAATGAACTAATGTATTTTAGTCTATTTAATTGATGATAAAACTTTTCTTTTGCAAAAAATTTATATTTTCTGTGAATTTGATCATTTTTTTGTTGGAAACTTTAATAAATATTTTAACTTGAGGGGTAAGCATTCTGAAAGTTGCAATGCAATTGTCTGTGAATACTTATATTCAGATTATTTTTAGAGAACATGGTGAACAGAGTAAAAATCACTGTTCCTTTTGTTCTCATTCAGTAAGGAAATTGGTACATCAGAAAATACTTTGCAAAGATAATGTTTCTTTGACAAGGAGGTAAACACACATATAATTGCTATGTATGTGAATGCCTACATACACACTGTAACTAAGAGACAGTAAAGAGAAATAAAGAGCTTTTCACCAGAAGTTTATCTTTGTTTGTTCAGCAGAAGCGTTTATATGTGAACTGGAAAAGTCAATGGCTAACACCTCCTTACAAGTTCATTTCATTAACCAGACCCAAGATTGATAGGATAGCAGAGGTTGTTTGGCATTGAACTATGATTTCTATGGACCTGAAATGTGGCTGATTTGTCATAGGGTAAACTTGTTCTACGAAATGAAGTAGATGGTGTGGAGCACATGTTTCACATAAAAGGGATTGGAAAAAAACCCCTAGCCGTGGAACACATCACCTTGGAATGTGAAGTGGGGGAAACAATAATTAAACACATAATGGTGCCTAATTATACAAATAGTCCCCTAAAATTGGAGGTAAGAATTCTCTTTTTAGTTTGAAAATGTTTTCTTCTGAATATATATTGAATTTAACTATATGAAATATAATAATTACATGAAATTTTTTAAACATTTAATTTTACTTGATCAGGTGAAGCAATGTCACATAAAGAGATGGTTACAATTCTACCTTTTGTTAATACAGCAGCTATTAAATTTCATTTCAATTATAAAGTTAAATTAGTATCAAACATGTTTTATATTTAAGTATTAGTACATAATCATAAAATACATTAAAATCTACTTATTTGAGTCATGTGTATTTTTGCTTAAAGAAATTATACATGATAAAAGGTGTTATCAAAAAATTTAGAAATAATTTTTCAAATTTTAATGTCAAATCTATAGGCACAGCAAAATTTCAATATTGTATTCTATCATTTACTTGTGTGAATAATAGTGGAAATGTTAAGAAATGCATAACTGTTTACATCTTTATTTTTTATGAAGTTTCCTACTCTGTCCTCCTCACTGGATTTGTTTAAACCAATCTTTAGATAAAATTTTTCACCCTTCACTCTCATCTTTATCTACAAATTGTTGTGTGCCCGATAGGATCCTCAAAAGACACTTCAAA